CAAACTCAAACATATACATCTAAGAAGAAGCCCGCCGGTAAAAAAAAAAAATTCAAAGGTGTATTATTGATGTGTTACAGTCCATAAGACCTTTAGCTTCCACGACTATAATGATTATTATTATTAGGTTGTTGTAGTACTTTAAATTTATAAGACTTTTTGGACAATTTTTTCAATGATTCTGATTCATTAAATTAAGTTCATACAATTGCATGTCTCAACATTTTTTTTTATTGGATTAAAGCTTGAAAATATCACCCTACTATTTTAATTTAATTCACTTTGTTTTAGTAAAACAAGTATGCATTCATTTAATTAAATATATTAAAAATTATATGCCAATAAATATAATAAAAAAGTTTTGACTCTTCTATTCAAATCACCTCACCACCAGTTGAATACCTTTTTTTTCTTCTAATATAAAAGAATGAATGAGTAGGTTATTGACAAGTTTATATTGACTTTGAGTGAAATATAAAATTGTGAATTAGATATTCAATGCTTTCATGTAATAAAATAAGTAAAGATTATATATGTTAATAAAAACATATAAGATTTTAAGTTAATTTTTAACGTAGTAGAAAAATAGAATAATAATCGTTTTTTTTTTTAGTTTTTGTATAATAATTTTTCAAAAAAATATTTTAAGGGAAAAAAATACAAAAATACAAAAGAATATAGATAAGAACTAAAAGAATGATATAAATAGGCTAAGAATATAGCTATAAATATTTCAAATATAAAGAAAAAAACTAAAAATATGAATTACAAAAAAATACAAAGATAAAACCAAAAAGAAAACAGTAATAAATAAGTCAAGTATCAAATAATAAATATGTTCAATATGTGTGTGTGTGTCATTTCTACGTGAAAACTACGTTTCCTTTTAATATATGTATAATAATATAATACCCTAGTTATAAACCTGACCCAGCTTAATGGGTTGATTCAAGAAACGGTCAACCTAGTAGCTAGATCGATCTGGATTTAATAGAAGATTGGTCGGGGTAACAGTCAGGCAAAACCAAGTCGAACCAGCAGGTCAACCCATGATCAGGTCAAACCTGGATGAGACCTGGTGTTTTTTTCCTAAATGTGAAATTTAAAATCCATTAGTATATATAATCTATATTACCAAGAAAAAAGTTATATTTTTTCAATATGTAATAAAAAAAACTTTTTGATTTAAATCTTTCAACTTAAAGGGATAACATGGTATATTTACAATATAGGATTTGAAACTCTTTCGTATATATACTATATGTTTCCATTAAAAAAGTTATGTTTTTTCAATGTAGGATTTAAAACTCATTAGTATATATATTCTATGTTTCAAAGAAAAAAAAATTATATTTTTTCAATATAGAATACAAAACTTTTTAGTCTAAATACTTCAACTTAAAGGAATAATATAGTATCTTGTCAATGTGGAATTTAAAGCCCTTTATATATACTCTTTATTCCCATGAAAAAGGTTAAGCTTTTTCAATGAAAGATTTGAAATCCATTAGTACATGTACTCTATATTTTCAAGAAAAAAGTTATTTCTTTAATGTGGGATAAAGAATAACGTAGTATCTTTTCAATATAGAATTTGAAGCTCTTCTTTAAATTGAAGTATTTAAACTAAAAAGTTTTGTATCCCATATTGAAAAAATATAATTTTTTTAAAGCTCTTTTGTATATATACTTTATGTTCTCATGAAAAAAGTTATGTTTTTTAATGTTGGATTTGAAATTCATTAGCAAATATACTTTATATTTCCAAAAAAAAAAGTTATATTTTTTCAATGTGGGATAAATAATAACATAGTATCTTTTCAATATTGGATTTAAAGCTTTTTCATATATATACTTAATGTTTATAAGAAAAAAATTATATTTTTTCAATGTGGGATTTGAAATCCATTAGTCTATAAACTCTATGTTCACAAGAAAAAAGTTATATTCTTTCAATGTGGAATACAAAAAAATTTTGTTTAAATATTTCAACTTAAAGAGATAACATAATATCTTTTCAATGTGAAATTTGAAACCATTTTATATATATACTTTATATTCCTAAAAAAAAAATTATGCTTTTTTAATGTGGGATTTAAAATCCATTAATATATATACTCTATGTTTCCAAGAAAAAAATTATTTCTTCAATATGGGATAAAAAAAAATTTAGTTTAAATACTTCAACTTAAAAGCTTAACATGGTATCTTTTTAATATAAGATAAAAAACTTTTTAAAATATTTTTTAAAATTTTATTATTTACAATTTGTAAGCTTATATTTACATGAATTTTTTTTATTTTTTCATATGAAATATTAAAGCGTTAAATATTTTTTTTTTAAATTTTTTCAGGTTGATCCAAGTTGATCCGAGTTAACTTATGAAACTGGAACCTGGCCCCTTGAGCAGATCAACTCCCGAAACTAGGTTTAATAACTATGTATAATATAATATAATATAATATATCCAATTTGTTTTCCTGAAACTCTGATTTTTATGCCAGCTTTCCTTCACGGAAAGTAATTTCTTTTAAAATAAATTAGGAAATTAATCATTCATCCAAATTAGTGCAAAATATTAATATGATAATGTAAGAAGCAAATCCATGTAGCACCTTGCTGAGCCTCCAAAAATCATTGCTACAAGAACTAGTTAAATCATTGATACAAGAACTAGTTTGCTTGCTAGCCGCAGCAGTTCTCAATCCAAGTGTTTTAGCTATTAATTTGTAATTAGTGGCTCAACCTTATCCTTATATTCAGATTTATAATTTGTCTGTTTGTGTTCTTGTATGTGAGCTTCGAATTCTACTTGTGCAGTCTCTTTTTAAATCAACGAGAAATCTTCATCCATAAGAAAAACAAGTTGCATACAAATTGGCGAAGGTTTCTTCTACCATTCAATGCTTAACTAGAGACGCACGGCGGTGCAGTGAACCCAGACCTTAAGCCCGAGGGTAGTTTCCGAAAGGTGCTCAAGTAGGCTCGCAAGTAGGCCGATTGTATTTATTATCAACCCAGACCTTAAATTTTCTATGTTGTGATTGTAAAGTAGACCTTTGGCCTACCGATCGAAGACCTTTTTTTGTTTCTTTCAAAGAAAATAATTTAAAAATAAGGCAAAAATTTAAGTTGATCATTCTTAGATTTTTTTCATTTTTTTTACTAAAATCGATAAAGAAGAGGTATAAGATTATACAATTGATTCTGGCAAAGAAACTAAAACTAAATGAAAATGAACATTATTTTAAATAAATAGAACATATTTAGACAAATAGTTAAACATTTCTTTTACCTGTCCAAGCCTAATTCAATTAATTTAATCCCCCACACTAAATCCACACCAGATGACTAAACTAATACTATAAGCCAGTCTCGATTTGATTAGGCTCCATTTGTCCAAAGTGTGTTCCATATAAATTTGACTTTACAACAAAAATTGTTTATTTTTTATGTTTTTGTATGGTTTTCTTTGATATTAAAAATAATTTTTTAAAAATAATAAATATTATTTTAATATATTTTAAAATAAAAAATACTATAAAAAAATTATTACCATCCTTCTAAATAACAACCAAACATGTGGCCTGATGTGAGCTCATTCTCGAGGATTTTTTTACAATGCCTTGGCTAGAATGCAAAGGCATTCAATTCTAAACGCCTGTGGGCATACATACATACATACACATACATACATACATACATATATATATATATATGATTGAAACGTGGTCACCAAATACGTACAAACATTAATGCAAAAATTTTATCGTGGTAAATTTTACTAACAAAATATTATCTCATTATATTTATTAATAAATATCTCATTTCTTTATTTTTATTACTGATAGTATTTATTTTTATTACCAATAAAAATAAAGCAAATATTAAAAATATTTGGTAATCTAGTAATTATTGCTTTTTAAAATGTTTTTAATTAAAAATATATTAAAATAATATTTTTATTTAAAAAAAATTATTTTTGATATTAATATACCAAAAAAATCTAAAAATATATTAAAAAATAAAAAAATATTTAAAAATATTTTTGAATTGCAAAAATAAACTGGATATTGTTTTGAGATCTTTCTTTTGTTTAAGATATACGAGAGTTGAGGTTGTCGGTTCGGGCCGTCTTGTGAAATTTTTGACAAGTGAATGCTTGAGTTTGGCCCCACTCTTTCAGCTATATACAAGGCAGTCCACTAATTAAAAATATTTTATTTAAGATATGCGTGTATAAATTGGCAATGGTATAAATTAGATAGATACATTAATATGAATTCCCATCGTATTTATTACTTGTTAGTGGTATGTCGCCTTCCACATTTATTGAGTTCTGGTTGAGATGCAGCGATGAGTGATCCTTCTATTAACAAAATCTAAGCCGTGTGTATTTCTTTGTTGGATTTGAAACAAGTGTCTCCAGATGATATGTGTGTGTGTGTTTTGTTTTCAATCATCAATTTTTCACCGGCAGAAGTAAGAGCACAGCGCATGGTCTCCATGCTCAGCTGTCTGTCTGTGGAAGTCATGGATCGATTTTTGCGAATTCCTTTTCAAGACAAGGGAAGGCGTTGGGCTATTGCAACACCCAAAACTCAACTCCCAGTATTTGCAATTGTTACCAGTTTCTTTTCCTTCGTTTCAATAAAATAATGTTGGATATCGTGAGTGTTAAGTGTTCTTAAAGAAAAAAAAAATTATAAATGGATTCTTATGATACATGTTAACAACCATTAGTTCTGAAATTTTCTTAAAACAAGATTTAAATCTAAGGAGCATATTCTAGGACTATTTTCGTTCAAAGTAGGGTAAATAGTAGTACTATAAATTAATTCAAAGGGAACCTGACAATTGTGCCCTCTCTTTACTCCTATGTCTCTTATTCCACGGTGGTCTGCATCTGCTAGCAGTTTTGTTTTCTGTCAGAAAACTAGATTTATTACCGTAACAGGAGGCTGGATATTTTGATTAATTTTATATATTCCTTTTTTAGGTACTTTTGACAATATATATAAGAGGGCCAGTGCTTTGCACAAATAAAAATGCACAGCCTCAAACTGGCTAAGAACAATATTAATGTCTATTGATAGAGATGAAGGTAGAAGAGAGTACCGAGAATGAAGTGCAGTCGGAGTCCAGTACTGTGATGAGAGAAAAGAAAGCAATATATCTGGTATGGGAAGAAGTAACGGCAGTGGTGGCTAAGAACTTAGGAAAAGGTGCAACTAGGAAGTTGCTAAATCGGCAAAGTGGTTATGCTTTACCAGATCGGATCATGGCTATTATGGGTCCTTCTGGCTCAGGAAAATCCACCTTGCTTGATGCATTAGCCGGT